GACAGTTCCTATTCACTTTTCTATATGTGTGAATGCGGCCTAGAGTCTTCTGCTTGAAGAAGTACAACATGCAATTCGACATTTTTTCTGATATAAGTAATTCTATGAATTCAAATTGAGTAACTAATATTAAAGAACATTCTTCTTAAGACGATTGAATCTGTACTATATTTCTTGGTGTCCCAGTCAACAACTACAATAATCGCACTTTTGTTTTAATAATTTTTGGATTATTTAGAACTGTATTCTAATCGTCGCTAGTTCTATTGAAAAATGTCGTAATTCAAAAGAAAATATTAAAAATTGACTATGTAGTGCTGGTAGTTCAGAATATCTCATAAAGTGCCATTTAATGACAGTTCCTATTCACTTCTGTATATGTGTGAATGCAGGCTAGAGTCTTCTGCTTGAAGAAGCACAACATGCAATTCGACATTTTTTCTGATATAAGTAATTCTATGAATTCAAATTGAGTAACTAATATTAAAGAACATTATTCTTAAGACGAATGAATCTGTACTATATATCTTGGTCTCCCAGTCAACAACTACAGTAATCGTAGTTTTGTAGTAATAAATTTAGGATTATTGAGAACTGTATTCTAATCATCGCTACATCAATTGAAAAATGTCGTAATTCAAAAAAAAAATATTAAAGATTGGCTATGAAGTACTGGGAGTTCAGAACTTCTTATAAGGTGTCTTTTAATGACAGTTCCTATTCACTTCTGCATATGTGTGCATATAAGTAATTCTATGAATTCAAATTGAGTAACTAATATTAAAGAACATTCTTCTTAAGACGATTGAATCTGTACTATATTTCTTGGTGTCCCAGTCAACAACTACAATAATCGCACTTTTGTTTTAATAATTTTTGGATTATTTTGAACTGTATTCTAATCGTCGCTAGTTCTATTGAAAAATGTCGTAATTCAAAAGAAAATATTAAAAATTGACTATGTAGTGCTGGGAGTTCAGAATATCTCATAAAGTGCCATTTAATGACAGTTCCTATTCACTTCTGTATATGTGTGAATGCAGGCTAGAGTCTTCTGCTTGAAGAAGCACAACATGCAATTCGACATTTTTTCTGATATAAGTAATTCTATGAATTCAAATTGAGTAACTAATATTAAAGAACATCCTTCTTAAGACGAATGAATCTGTACTATAATTCTTGGTCTACCAGTCAACAACTACAATAATCGCACTTTTGTTTTAATAATTTTTGGATTATTTAGAACTGCATTCTAATCGTCGCTAGTTCTATTGAAAAATGTCGTAATTCAAAAGAGAATATTAAAAATTGACTATATAGTGCTGGGAGTTCAGAATATCTCATAAAGTGCCTTTTAATGACAGTTCGTATTCCCTTCTGTATATGTGTGAATGCGGGCTAGAGTCTTCTGCTTGAAGAAGCACAACATGCAATTCGACATTTTTTCTGATATAAGTAATTCTATGAATTCAAGCTCAGTAACTAATATTAAAGAACTTTCTTCTTAAGACAAATGAATCTGTACTATATTTCTTGGTCTCCCAGTCAACAAGTACAATAATCGCACTTTTGTTTTAATAATTTTTGGATTATTTAGAACTGTATTCTAATCGTCGCTAGTTCTATTGAAAAATGTCGTAATTCAAAAAAAAATGTTAAAGATTGGCTATGAAGTACTGGGAGTTCAGAACTTCTTATAAGGTGTTTTTTAATGACAATTCGTATTCACTTCTGTATATGTGTGAATGCGGGCTAGAGTCGTCTGCTTGAAGAAGTACAACATGCAATTCGACATTTTTTCTGATATAAGTAATTCTATGAATTCAAGCTCAGTAACTAATATTAAAGAACATTATTCTTAAGACGATTGAATCTGTACTATATTTCTTGGTGTCCCAGTCAACAACTACAATAATCGCACTTTTGTTTTAATAATTTTTGGATTATTTAGAACTGTATTCTAATCGTCGCTAGTTCTATTGAAAAATGTCGTAATTCAAAAGAAAATATTAAAAACTGACTATGTAGTGCTGGGAGTTCAGAACTTCTGATAAGGTGCCGACTAGTGACAGTTCGTATTCTCTTCTGTATATGTGTGAATGCGGGCTAGAGTCGTCTGCTTGAAGAAGTACAACATGCAATTCGACATTTTTTCTGATATAAGTAGATAAATGTTATAATATATATTTTATAGCATTTGTGAGTTAGTCATTAGTCCCAGTCAACAACTACAATAATCGCACTTTTGTTTTAATAATTTTTGGATTATTTTGAACTGTATTCTAATCGTCGCTAGTTCTATTGAAAAATGTCGTAATTCAAAAGAAAATATTAAAAATTGACTATATAGTGCTGGGAGTTCAGAATATCTCATAAAGTGCCATTTAATGACAGTTCCTATTCACTTTTCTATATGTGTGAATGCGGCCTAGAGTCTTCTGCTTGAAGAAGTACAACGTGCAATTCGACATTTTTTCTGATATAAGTAATTCTATGAATTCAAATTGAGTAACTAATATTAAAGAACATTCTTCTTAAGACGAATAAATCTGTACTATATTTCTTGGTCTCCCAGTCAACAACTACAATAATCGCACTTTTGTTTTAATAATTTTTGGATTATTTAGAACTGTATTCTAATCGTCGCTAGTTCTATTGTAAAATGTCGTAATTCAAAAGAGAATATTAAAAATTGACTATATAGTGCTGGGAGTTCAGAATATCTCATAAAGTGCCTTTTAATGACAGTTCGTATTCACTTCTGTATATGTGTGAATGCAGGCTAGGGTCTTCTGCTTGAAGAAGCACAACATGCAATTCGACATTTTTTCTGATATAAGTAATTCTATGAATTCAAATTGAGTAACTAATATTAAAGAACATTATTCTTAAGACGAATGAATCTGTACTATATATCTTGGTCTCCCAGTCAACAACTACAGTAATCGTAGTTTTGTAGTAATAAATTTTGGATTATTGAGAACTGTATTCTAATCATTGCTACATCAATTGAAAAATGTCGTAATTCAAAAAAAAATATTAAAGATTGGCTATGAAGTACTGGGAGTTCAGAACTTCTTATAAGGTGTCTTTTAATGACAGTTCCTATTCACTTCTGCATATGTGTGCATATAAGTAATTCTATGAATTCAAATTGAGTAACTAATATTAAAGAACATTCTTCTTAAGACGATTGAATCTGTACTATATTTCTTGGTGTCCCAGTCAACAACTACAATAATCGCACTTTTGTTTTAATAATTTTTGGATTATTTTGAACTGTATTCTAATCGTCGCTAGTTCTATTGAAAAATGTCGTAATTCAAAAGAAAATATTAAAAATTGACTATGTAGTGCTGGGAGTTCAGAATATCTCATAAAGTGCCATTTAATGACAGTTCCTATTCACTTCTGTATATGTGTGAATGCAGGCTAGAGTCTTCTGCTTGAAGAAGCACAACATGCAATTCGACATTTTTTCTGATATAAGTAATTCTATGAATTCAAATTGAGTAACTAATATTAAAGAACATCCTTCTTAAGACGAATGAATCTGTACTATAATTCTTGGTCTACCAGTCAACAACTACAATAATCGCACTTTTGTTTTAATAATTTTTGGATTATTTAGAACTGCATTCTAATCGTCGCTAGTTCTATTGAAAAATGTCGTAATTCAAAAGAGAATATTAAAAATTGACTATATAGTGCTGGGAGTTCAGAATATCTCATAAAGTGCCTTTTAATGACAGTTCGTATTCCCTTCTGTATATGTGTGAATGCGGGCTAGAGTCTTCTGCTTGAAGAAGCACAACATGCAATTCGACATTTTTTCTGATATAAGTAATTCTATGAATTCAAGCTCAGTAACTAATATTAAAGAACTTTCTTCTTAA